TCCCTTGAATCGGGATGAGTTACCTGATTGTATTCAGTGGCTACAGTAGGAGAGCTGAAAGTCCTTCATGGCTGGAAACCTAGCTGAGTGTCGACAGGTATTTTGCTTTGCTCAAACTTAGAAGGCACAGGAGAGAGGGAAGGGGAACCGACAGAAGTGGGAAGGAGTCCGTGGAAGCTCCAAGCACAGGACTCAGCGTAGCATGGGTTTGGAGAGCACAATACCAAGGCGGAAGCCTGGTTTTCTCATTAAACCACAGAACCGAGCCTAGTTTCTTTTCCTGGCTCGACCACTGACTCCTGGTGTGGTCTCAAATAAATCATTTTACCTCTTTATGCTTCAAAATGGGGATAGTAAGACACCCACTCAGTGGCTACCTTGGAAGCTCCAGTCAGAAGTTAAAAAATGACCAATGTAAATATTTCACTGGAGCATCTTGAACTGTTTTACAGGAGTGGTACAGCTGGTTCTTTCCTTTATCAGCAGATGAAAATAAATAAGAAATTTGTCCCTGAAAACTAGGCATTAAGCCTACAGTGCAAGCACTGACTTTATTCTGCCCGTGTGTGTTGCTTCAATCCATCACTGTATGAAGCATTTTAGATTTTAGACTGGCCTGTGTCTTGCAAGCCAAGATAGGCTCTGCCTCCTGACGCCTTCTTGTAAGTGTTGCAGTAATTTAATAGACTGGAAGTTATTTATGAACATTGGAAAGGGTCTATCCCCTTATGTACATGTCCCTCGTAGTCTGACATCTTGATTTCTTCATGTCATCTTATGAAAAAAAAAAAAAAAACAGCCTTTGGGGCACATGAATAAATGACACAGATATGCATCATCGGAACAGATGCTCAGTATTGAGGGTGATTTATTTTAATTAGTCAAATGTCATTTGAAGAGTTTTTACTTTGTAACTGGCTTTGATTGCTGTGTGCAAAGCTGCTGCCATTCCAGGATCTCACGTAATTCTCCCCTTTTCTTTCCCTCACCCGTGCGTCGGTGCCAGGCGGCATGGAATCGGGTGTCACTCTCGCTGATGTCTGGTGTTACATGTCCTTGCTGGATAACTGGAACCTCGTGTCCCGCATGACAGTCCCAAGGTGTCGACATAACAGTCTGGTGTACGATGGGAAAATTTATACCATTGGAGGGGTCGGTGTCGCAGGCAATGTCGACCATGTGGAAAGGTAAAAAAAACCAAACCCAAAACCCATGCTGTTTGTTGGAGCTTTTTCTTCATGCTATGCTAAAGGACCGTTTCCCTTTTTAAAGGACACATCGAATGGGCTGTATGTGTTAAAATAAGCTTTTATAATAGCTAAGAAAGGAGGAAACTATGCAGGATTAGATTTCTTTTTAAAGCTTCAGTGGAAAGCATTGTTTCAAAACCAAAGACGAAAGCTGCCAGTTTGTTTGCCGGTTTGCTCAGAGAAGGGAAGAGAGGAATTAAGCTTCTTTGGACACTTTACACAGATTATACAATGAACTAATAAACTTCCTTTGAATTTAGTACTGATTAAAGTCTTTACAGATCACAATAATCCTTTTTCTTTTCCCTTTTTTTTTTTTTAAACCCAAAATAAAGCAACAGCAAAGTAGGTTTCTCACATGCGCTCTCCTGGTAAAACACTTCAGCCTTGACCTGGCTGGAAGGAAAATCCTCCCTTTGGTGGTCTTGGCCTGGGAGCTGCCAAGCTCTGAGTAAAACAACCGATAAATGAAAACAGTTTTGAATTCCTGGCTGAGAGGGGCTGAATAAAGATGGGAGAGAATGGAAATTTCTCTTTTCAAGAGGACTCCAGATATAAAAGTTTTCCTTTGCTCTCATGGAACCTAAAAAAAAGGAACAAAAGCACAAAAGAAACATTTCACAAAGTAGAATTCCAAAACCAACTAATTTCACGTCAACCATAACATTCAATAAAACCATAAATTTTATATGCATATCAATGTTTTCATTAAAATATAGAAACTACTTTGAAATGCAGTATATAAGAATATTCCATTCCAGAAGGATCAATACAGCCCTGGCCTTACCCAAACACTTAAAAATGCATCGTGACAATAGATTAATGATACATTTTTTGTGAAATGTTTTTCCTTAGTGAATCTGGCAACCAAAAATAAGAGGGTTTTTCTCTTCCTGTGAATTTTCAGTGCTGAATGTGAATACTTCTTCAGCAACATTTTGAAGCAGGCAATTCCCAGTAAAAGTTGCCTTAATAGATGAGCCAAAAAAATGGATAGGTCATTAAGAAAGATTTGCAAAATAAATTAAAAAAGAACATTTTTCAAAAGGTTAGGATTAAAGATGCTTTAAATCTATTAATTCTTGATTTTAGTGCTGCAACATTTATGTTCCATTTATGCAGGGGGTGTTTATTTTTTCATTTAAGTAGATACCATAAATACCAAAACCTGTATTAAAAGTTTAAATAATGTTTCAAAAAGTCAAACAGAGGAAATGAGGAAATGCCAAAAAATCAAGTTTCCTACTGCCAATCTACTCTTTGGTACAATCTTTAATCGTGCGATCACATCTTTTTTTCCCAAATGATTTCTGCCTAGTTCAGTTCATGGGACAGACCAGTTGTTTGGGGAATGTATGCATGGTCAGGGAGATCCTGTCTGGTGCTGAGTGACCACCATTCTCATACAGTTTTGTGTTTCTCCATGTTCACACATTTGACACTATTTTGCTTACGAGACAAGGATTTGGCAAAAGGAAAGGACGTGTGCTGTGGGACAAGGTCAGCAGGTAGCCTTCCCTCCCAGCCCGGGCGCGGGCTGAAGAACTGATGTTGGTGATGATGCTATCAGCAAGTCAGGGAAATGCAGACAGTGAGGAAAGAATGATAAATCATAGCAGTGAAGGCAACATGGGAGCGTTGCTTCCCTCCTGACTCCGAGCTTAAGGTGGGCACTGCCCTTGGGACTTGCTTTGAGGAAATTCTCACCCATTTATGCAGATTTTTTTTTTCTGAGTTCATAGAAATTACGCTGTTGTGGATAGGTGTCTTGATAGATGTCATTGATTCAATGATCTCTTTTAATTTTTCCCAGTCTCATTTCTTTCTCTGCTCTGATTCTCATCGTCTCTCCTTAACAAAGCATCCAGAACATTGGTCAGTCGAATGAACCCCAAATCAAGCAAAGGCTCCCCCTCACCTTCCTTCGCATCTCAGTCATCCAGGCCCTCGCCACAAGTGACATTGCAGCCTGCAAAGTCACGCTCAGGCCCTCGGCGTACCCTGCGTGGCTCCGTGAGAGCAGCCGTGCTGGTTTTCGGTCGGAACAAGCCCACCAAGAGACTTCTGTGTGGGAAAGGGAGCAGATTTCCTCCCTATCATTTCAGCGCACACTGTCTCAATAAGGATGTCCTGTCATGGGGATTTGCTAAACCCGTGGTTATAATTAATCTGCTATTGTCTATCAAGTGTCTTGTGAGACACAGCCATGGAAAAACATGGCCTCTTTTGGGTTATGCCAAGAAATGAGAGAGGTTTGGGGATGTTTCTTTTTTTATTCTTCATATTAAAATGACAGTGAGGATGGATGCCAGCAAAGCATGGCATGGCTGAAGCTGCGCATTTTGGAAAGGACGTTTCAGGTTCTGCTGTTAGAAATGCAGGTGAGAAAAAGCCGATCCTCGTAGCTGTACGGAGCAAAGTCAGGCCTTTTCAGACAAAAGCATTTCCCATTGGGCCCGGCAACTAATTTGGGCAAGTGTTCAGGAATTTAAATCACTGCACTCACTTTTGCAAACAATGAGGCTTTCTGAATTTGGGTTGCAACTTTTAAAAAAACACACATTAAAATACAAAGTAAAGCCACTTCAATTGTTCAGTTATCTGTTGCCTTATGTGCAGTTAATACTCCCTTCTTGACTGTGCCCTCTGTTTCTTTTTTGCCCCCCCATCAAGAGCTACAAGCGACCAGATTTCTCTCACCGTACTTCTGTGTGGGCTGCACATTGTTCTTCAAATATTGTGTTGCTTTGGATGAGACACTGAGATACCATCCCTCAGGAGGGGGGAAACCTCTCTGTCATTCCAGCGAGTCTTACAAAAGCACTGTATTAAAATCATAAAAAAGTTACATGATCACATGCTCCAAGCCAGGTGATGCCAAAAATTACATTTACCTCTGAGGTTAACGTTGTTCCCTTCAGCGTTGAATTTCAGGGTCATGTGCTCTTGGATTTTGGATTCTTTTTCACCCCAAAGGAGGCTTCTGAGGTTATAGCCCACCCAGACGGACTGTGCACCAGTGTGAAGGGCAATGCACTGGACACCCTCCCTTGCGGGCCACCTGCCACCTCCCCTCGTGCACATACAGCTTATCTGTCCTGACCACGTTTCGCTTTCTGCTTGCTCGGTTAGCTCAAGCGTGACCATGCCCAGCTTTGGCCATGTTTCCATGCGTTTCACTGGCGTGGTGGAGGACACGTCTGCTGTCCAAAGTGACATACCCTGACCTCACCAGTTAGCAGCCCCAGAGCATGGAGACTACAGGGTGTCTCGCCGCAGCAGGTCTTTGAAGACGGAGAAAATAACGTTTTCTCCCTGTTTCCTTCTTGTTCTCCACCTGTTTTTCCTGGAATTCTTGTACTATTTCATGTTAAATGGGTAAAATCTTACAAAGATGTTTTTATTGCATTTTGTTTGTTAAAAACAGATGTCAGACCGTAGTAGCTATACATGCTGCCGCCTGACTGCACCTCATACATCTGCTCACCATCAGAAAGCATTAAAGCAAGAAGGGACCACTGGCCTCCCAGTGATTTATGGCATCGGCTCCTGTGCTCCTCTCTCCATGCATTTGGCTGTGTCACTGGTGCCAAAGGGTGCAGCCTCAACCAGAAATTCTGCTGCCACTTAAATCAGTGGGTGTTTGCCCATCCACTTCAACAGGGCTGAGATTTTTTTTACCCTTTATCTGCCATTTTTCTGTAAAAAGGCAGTAAAAATTCCGGCTAGATGGATAATATTACGGGACTATCACAAACAGACGAGTAGGAGTCATTCATTACTCATCTTAAAACAATATGCATGTGCCAGAGGGTCTGAGTTATAAGTCCATTTTTGGGGCTGTACATGGGTATGTGTTCAGGGAGAGTTATGTTTTTGGAATGAGTGTTTAGGGAAATAACAGCGCGGCTGCAGTTCTCCATCAAGCCCCTCTGGCAAGTTTCTGCGTGACAGGGAGCGAGTCATTAGGTGTTGGGCGAGAGGGTATTACACTTTCTGTCTTCTTCTGAGATATGAGTTGAGTTGGGAGGCGGCGAAATGAAGTGGATCCACGAACTAGGTTTTTAGATAATGGATGGGCCCTGTAATATATGCAATTTGAGAGCCGAGAAGACTGCGTATGCTGACAAGACAATGTATGTGACTAAAAGTGTGGAAATGTGGGTGCTTTGTGGTTATTATCTGTTTGAAGGACAGAAGAAGATGAATCCCCTTGACCTGACAGCACTTTTACAATAGGGTTGTCTAAAATTGGGAGATTACTTCGGCTGGCAGTGTGTACTTGGAAGACAGTCTAAAATATTCAATGTAAAGAATAAGCTTTATAAGCTTTAGAAACTGCTTCAGAACCTACTGGTTTATTGACATCTTAAGAAAATTAAATATATAGCCTTGTCCAAGGATAGTTTCTTAAGCCCCTCAGAGCAGTCAGAAGAAAATAAAAAAGGCAAAAAATAGTAATCCATTAATGTGATTTTAAACAACATGTGAATCATCTGAAGAGCAGATCAATATGACACTGTACAACTTTATTTTAAATAGCAGCTTTCCTGCAAACAGAATTAAATAATGTATAAGAAACTGGAGGGTACATGTCTGTAAGCGGCTGACTATGATGTAAGAATTTTATAATGTGAATAAATGAAGATACTCATAAGGCTGTTTAACCTAGAAGGACAGAAATTAAGAGACTGAGGAGAAAAAAAATACTGTTTTCAGGTACCAAAGAGATCAAAAGTCAAGAAGGCAGAGAAGCAAACAAGCAGAGCTTGAAATGAAGGAGTTTCTGCTGTTAATATTGAGGTGGTAGGGAAGGAGCAAGAAAGGAGACATTGAACAAAATGAGTGACGCAAGAGGAGGATCAGGCACACAGATGAAATCCTGAGAGTGGAGAGCTGTGAAACCCAGCGAGGTTATTTCTGCCTGTGCTCCCTTCAAGCCTGGGCTGTATTTTCTGCTGAGTTCTGATCATTTGCCATATCATGGTATATAAATAATACATAAACCAGAGGATAGTGACTGCACAAGGGTCAGGTGAGACGACAGTGCTCGGTGCACGTGAAGTGCCACGCATGGAAAGCCTGATGTCCGCAGCACAGCAGGGCCATGGACCGCGGGGTGGCAGGGACTGCGCTGGGGGCAAAGGCGTGCAAGGGCAGCCGTGTAAAACCACACGTGAGTCCGTAGCATGCGAGGACTGCAAAACCAGGCGTCAGTCGTGTGAAAGGAGATGTCCTTGAAGTTTCCAGTTCAGCAAATTGGATGGGTTTGCTAGGCCCGTAGCCAAGGACCGGCATGGACACTCCGGGACTGGAGGGAGCAGTGGAGGAGAGGGAAGAAAAACCTTTCCTTGGCTCAAAGCCAGCTCCCATTAAGTTTCCGTCTATGGCTTCAAACAGGGGAATCAAATGCAAAGCTTGACTAATGGAAAGAGATCAAAGTGATTATTCTTTAAATCAGTTCCCTCCCCACTGGCCCTTGAGCAGAGCCGGTGTTAAAGGCAGCCGAGGAGCCCCGCTAGCACTGGTGGTGGTGGAGTGATGGCAACGCTGGAGATGACGCGACAGATGGAAATGCCCTAGGGCAGAGAGGTAAAGCAGGTGTCATTATTTCCTGTCCTGGAAGGTTACAAAGATTCAACTTTATTCATTTTTAAATCAATTTAGTTAATCTGGTGCAAATCCTTGTGTGAACACAGTAAGAGCCGATTTGAGATACACCAAAACGGTGGAAACCTGCTGCCTTGCAGTGGGAGACTTAAGAAGCTTAGACTACTTAGTTTATTCCATGGAAGGTGACGAGGTGACTTTATTGTTTTCCACAAGTCCATACATAGAAGAGAGAGATTTGATAGCGGACAGCTTTGTAATCCAACAGAAAAAAACCTTATTTCTAGTGGGTGGGACCTGAAGCAAAACAGAGACTAGAAACCAGGTCTACAGTTTTGCAAGGAGGGAATGAACCAGAGGAATAAATTCCCGGGGGATGGAGGGACTTGATGAACAGGTATCAGGAGGCCTTGAAGGCACCAGTTTCTCTTCTTTGGCCCCAGGGTTAAGTTAGGCACTTAAGAGGGTTGCTTCACTGAGCAGCCTGTGTGAAATCCACGTTAGATGTCTGTGTTAGGTGGACAAGGACGGGCTTCCACCTGCTTTATGGTTCACTGATTTTTTAAAACAAATGACCCTCAGGACAGGACTGGTTTTTTAAGCTGCCCCACTTTCACCTATATCCAGTACATTTGCAGCCTTTGGCTTTGAGCAGATGAAGTGCAACTGGTCATTTCTGGTTTCCCGGTGGCAGACGAAGGAGGGCACAAGACTGAAAGATCAGTTCTGTCATCGTATAGCATAAACATAGAGCAGCGAAAAATTTGACCTAGGGTACCTGAGGTCCCAATAGTGAAATTCATCCAGAAAAGGGACTATTGTCTTTTTTAATTTGAACCCTTCTCCAGTATTCCTATAGACATGGTCCTCCACCACACCTGAGTCCCAGCAAATGTGAAGGGCGTAAGCCTTCCTTCCTGAAAACTCATTAGGCTGATCAGGAAGTCATTGGCAGGAACGTATCAGTCTTGGGAACTGTGGTCTGCCAGGTACTTCTGCCCGTACCGCAGAAGGCAGCACGGCTGCTCACCGTCCCGTCTCAGACCACTCTGGCCACAAACCTTCCTGAAGTTTGGACTAACAGTGGTGCTAAGTCACAGTGGATGGTGTGAGACAATACGTATCAGGTGACAGATATCATTTATATCTTAGAAGGAACTAGAAAGGCACATTAGATGAGTTCTCAGCTCTATTTCTTTGCCTAGTTTCTAACCAATTCTAACCAATGTCTTAACCAGTGTTTATTATACAATAAGACATCAACAATTAAATTACCAAGCCCCAAATGACTACAGTTAGCAAAGCGTAACCCGAAAGCAGTGTGTGAAACTTTATATTATGTGACATTTTTGCATATCTGCTAGGACGGGCTGAGTGCTGCCCCGAGTGCTGTGGGCAAATGCAGGAGATGCAGCATCTGGTGCCTTACCTGGAGGAACTGCTTGTGCAATCAAACACGCATCTGCAGGCGGGTTTGGTACCAAATGTTAAGAATCAGCCCAATATAGGTGTGTTGCCTCGAATGCTCCCAGCACCATGTTGTTTAATCTCGTTATATTTCTCCCCTTTGATCACTTTGTTGTAGATGAATTTAATTTCTCAGTAACTAATTTAGAGCATTGTACAAGGCAGTTCTCCATGCTCATTATAAGGGACTTTCCTTGTCTTTTTTAGTTAAAGTTTGCCTCCCTCTTGCTTTTGCTTCATTTTATGAGTGTGTTAATTACTTTCAGTTATATTACTTGGAAACTCATTAATGCATTTTCATTAAGCACATTATTTTGTGCTGTTTCTACCATTTATATCTTTTGCGCCTTTTATTTTCCCCAAGTTTGGGCAGTGAGAATTTGATGGACATGTTGCAAAGGGAGAGTTCCCCGTCACTAAATCTTTTTTTACAGATGGATTCATGGCCATGGATTCATTTCATGTTTGCATATTGCATATCACTAATATTAAGAGCAAAAGCCCTGAATGGGTGATAAGGGCTTCTGTTCTTGCAGTAAACAATTCTGAATAATCACTATGCAGGAAACTCCTATTTGACTGAATGCGCCATTACATGGAAATATAGAAGCCTAAAAATCACATTATTTTCCACTGTCTCCGGGACTCATTTTAGAGCAGCTATTTGGATCACTGCCACATTATCTTTAAAAAAATTGACATCTGTACTTGTGACATTGTCTAAAATGAATCTTCATCCATGGATTATTAACTGCACATCCCTTATGGTCAATGGCTTAATTAAATCAGATACTGATGACCTTAAAACTAATTTAGCACTTTCATGCATACTCTTTTCTGTTTGCTTCATGTCAAATATGGACGCAATGGTGAAATCTTATTCCAGCATTAACGTTTGCGGCGTACTGCAATGAAGCACAGTAGTTAGGTTTGCACAATGAAAATTAAATGGAAGCAACTTATTCTGGCACAAAGTGTGTGTCGCTGGTCAGTTAACTAGGGTAAAAAGAGCTATCGTGTTACATTATGTTGCAGGTGAGATGTGTTCCACAAGCTGAACAACTGAAGTATATTAACAGTTGCCTGCTTGCGGTTGCTATTGGATATCACTGCACTGATTTGCAAGAATAATCTCATTGTATACTCATTAATAGAAATTAATTAGTGGAAGACATCTCAACAAAGATGTCCTGAGTTTCTTTAGCTTGGACTATAATGAGATCTGAGAGGCATATACAGAAAATAGAACCAGCTTTCTCTGGGCTTTTCGCAGTGTTTTAAAAGCTTAGAAAAAGCATTAATTACACTGTTTACCAAGTGGTTGAATTTGTAGGACGTTAAAAAATACATTTCCACCTCTGCTTTTCTTCTGCTTGTCAAGCTGCCTTTCTCTTATATCTCAGCTTGCTTTCTCTGCCTGTCTGTCCTGCCCAGCATTGCATCATCTCAGCTCACTCTGGTTTCTGTCGTCCTAGGTATGATACGATAACCAACCAGTGGGAGACTATCGCTCCTCTGCCAAAGGCCGTTCATTCGGCTGCTGCGACCGTTTGCGGTGGGAAGATCTACGTCTTCGGTGGGGTGAACGAAGCCGGCAGAGCTGCGGGGGTCTTGCAGTCCTACATCCCTCAGACTAATTCCTGGAGTTTCATAGAGTCTCCGATGATCGGTAAGGAATGCGTGGTGTCAGAGTAAACCTCTGTTACAACAGAAGTCTTTGTGCTACAGGTATTTCAATGACTTTGCAGAAAGTAAATGAGTTGGAGGGGTGAGGGGAGATATGTTTACAGAGATTGACAGGAAGGCATGGTATATTATACCAGAGAGGCAATTATCTGGATCTTTACTGAAGGCAATTGTCACTCATTAATACAGCTAGTTATCACTAGAAGTGATGAGTTCAAAATAGAGGAGAAAGGAAAGCAGTTATTACGTATGGACAACTAGTAATTTTAGATCCAAAAAATGGCAAAGTGCAGTGAAACTTCATACTGGCATCATGTGTCGCTCCATGCAGTTTTACACCACCACTCAGTTAATGGATTATTACTCCTGGCTTTGTTAGAGTGCCGCCTGTCCTGTGGGAAATGGCAGTCATTCTTAACAGGGATTTATCAGTGGTGTCCAAAAGCATATGTGCTTCAGAGGCTGAAATCGAGACATGTAGATTATTAAAACTGTGTTTATTGGTTTGTGATGTCGTCGAGCTCACCAAACATTTTACAGAATAAAGAGGAAGACAAGAGGCCAAACTTTCCAACGTACAAGCCAACATCATATGTGCAGACTTCCTTCCAAAGTTAAGATGGTGTTCAGAAGATTGCAACTTATTTGCTTTCCATGGCAATTTGCACCCTGAGTGTTTAGACTGCTTTTGGAAATGAGGTTTAGCGTTCAGCTTCATGAGGATGTTACTGCAGGGTGACAGCCAACCTGGGCCACCTGCTCGGTGCTGGGTGGCTGTGGGCAGCCTTCTGTCTGGCTGTAAGGTGCTCAAAGAAACAGCGCTTATACAGTCATCACAGAGAAGCTGCTTTGGGTTGACTTGCTTTTGCATCCTAGAATCATAAAATCGTAGCATCATAGAGTGGTTTGGGTTGGAAGGGAACTTTCAAAATCATCTAGTCCAACCCCCTGCAATAAGCAGGGACATCTTCAACTAGATCAGATTGCTCAAAGCCTCATCCAACCTGACCTTGAATGTTTCCAGGGATGGGGCATCTACCACCTCTCTGGGCAACCTGCTCCAGTGTTCCACCATCCTGAACCTCTTAGTCACATTGAAACTGTGACACAAGGTGTTTCATTTAAAAAGAATCATGGTCTCAGTATTGAGCCTGGTAGAGCAATAGGAGTAGCCAGTAATAAATTACAGAAGTACAGTTCTAAGGTATTCAGGTAAGGCCTAAACATAGTCAGAAAGCTAAAATAAGCTGCTCTTCTTATTACAGCTTGTTACAATCATTATTAGATCAGGTCATGAGGAGTTGGTACAGCCACGGCTGTAGCCTCCCCTGTGCAGCCAGTGCTGCTGCTTTCCGACTCCCTTGCTGCTGTTTGTGTCCAGCCTAACATAACATGACATGCATATGATGCAACATGAAGCGCCCAGCGGGAGGGCGTTAACCGGCAAAAGTCATGTTTATGTAATACAGCGGTGCAAACAACCCTATTGCCTGGCTTTTTCCATCACATGGCTCCAGCTGCTGCTGTTCATTTAATCCACCGACTGACAGTATGAGGTTTTCCTGTGCTCAGAGTGTATTGCAAAAATAAATGCATTATGCAAAGAGGTATTCCTTTTCCTTACCAAAATAGTACAAGTGCCATAGGAGCTAAGAAATCATTCCCTGAGCTTGTTATACTGTCTAGCAGGCATCAACACCACGCGTGCTTGGAAAAAAATCATCCAAACCATCCAGAGTTGGGTTTGTCATCCATTGTTCTAATGGACACGTACTGTTATTTCCTAACAAAAATACATGAAAGACATCGGTGAAGGTAATAGATGGTATTTATATTTTGGTGTAAGCAAAGTTAATTAGTTAAGCTGAAGGCATAAAATACATGATGAAATGCAGAGTTGCTGTGTGTCTTTGTTGGGAAATGTATAAAATCAATTTATTTGCAAATAAAGTAAAATAACACAGAGCCTGAAAAATTGCACCCCGGTGGAGAATGTCTGGGAAACTGAACTGATGTGATGCCTGATCATCTAACAGGCTGTGGGAATACTGGAAATATACTTTAATTTCTCCAGCTCTGCAAGAACCGTAGTATCACCTGTGTTTGTAAAGTATCCCTCAAGAACTGGATGCTATGCCAAGTGCGGTACAGTCAACATTTATCTAAAACAAAGAGGGAATAGAAGGAGTCTTGGGGTACTTTTTACAAAATGGAGCCGAGATAAATGCTGGTACGATCAGTGCTGGGGTGCCTTTGACAGCCTCAGAGCCTTTTTCTGTTGATTTGTGAATTCTTAAGGTGTCTCTCTGAGCTAAGTCAACTGAGACATCTTGACGGCAAGTTGTGTTGGTTAAGGTCACCCCAGTGATCAGTGAAACCTGTTTGACCTCAGATAGGACAATGGATTATTTAAAAACACTTCAAGCATGCTCAGATATGCAACTGCAGATGCACATGTTGAAAGTAGCCGAGGTCTGTGGAGGTTTTTAGACCAATCATACCTGTTTCAATTCACTGTGGTATTTTATGATAGCGAGTTGAACACAGCATGGCAGGCATTTGAACCCAACAGGTCCATCTCTTCCAAAGCATCGTGTGCCAGCCTGACCCAAGGCAACACTGGTATCAGCCATGGCAAGGGGGGGTGGGGCGGCAGTCATTTTGTGGCTAATCTGAAGGGAGGTGAAGCAGGCTAGATACTGACACCCTGTCTGTGCAGAGGACGTACAGAGTGGGGACCAACAGCACATCCATGCAGCTCAGCCCCTGCTCTCTTCTGCTTGGATTTCTCCTAGGAATAAACAGTGAATTCACTGCCAGTTTCCATTTATTCTTTAGCCTTCACCTACCAGGACGAGTTGGGACATGGATGCCTGCATGCAGTAGGTAGGACACTAGGCCCACCAACACGTTACACATGAATACTTTGATAGTCTTTGGGCAGGTGTTGATTACACACATCCGTGTTTGGAGAGGGTCTTTCTCAGTGTCCCGTCCTTTGCCTCGCCTCCATCTTCCCCACCTTTGGAGCCAGCAGATGTTCCTGCAGCAGCACAGCCCCCAGCTTGATGTTACTGGAGCTTCCCAGGGCTTTCACATTGCATGTTTTTTGATAACCCACCTTGCACATCCCCTTCTTGTGTTTTGAGCTCTAAGAAGTTTGCTGGTGTTGAGCCAGTGTCCTACAAAAGTAAATGAAAGGGCTACATACTTGCAGCACCTGCTTTTCCATTTCTTGCCAGGCTGTCCTATATAGCTCTGCTAAAAATGTATTTCATGCCCAGCTTCCTGTGGTTTGTCTCATTTAACAAGATGGCCATAGACATGCTGAAGTCAATGATTGTAAGTAAACTTAATTATCTTGTCACTGCCTTTTAGTTCACTTTGTGCCTTCATGCCAGGGCACTAAAATAGACCTTTTTTTGATACCTTGAACAGTCAGTGTCTGTATCGGTGAAATTACAAGTTTTTATTAATGTTTCTGGATTGTAAGAAAAACAGTGTTTAATCATCACCACTCTTAAATTTTCAAATCTGGTGAGAATTATGGGAACACAGAAGTCAAAAATCTATGAGCATTTCTGGTTTCTAATCCAAATATTTAGTTCCTAACCATACCGTTTAGTCCTGCAGTCATATGTCCAATCAAAGTGGAACAAACAGAGAGAGCTAAGAATGCAAGAAATATCTGGAAAATGGCATTAGCAGCATCTGTGCATTTTTACTGCACTGTCCCATGGCTTATTTTGGTTAAAATGCATAATCATTCCCATTAATTTATTTTTGGACTTTACTAGAAAAAATCAGGTGTGTGTCTTGGCCTGTCCCTCTCCCCAAGGCCAATAGTTCGGTAACTGTGTCAGGTTGGCCAGCTCTCACCTAGAAGTCTCAAAGTAATGAGTGTTTCATCTCATCCTTTAATGTATTTTTCTTCCCATGACTAGTTCTTAGTGTTTTTCCCACTTGCAACCTTGAATTTTACTTTCCTTTGCCTCACCCATCTCTCCTTGAGTGGAAAAAACAATTCTGAATGGAGGATATGGAACTGGTTTTTCCACTCCTTGATGCGTCACCCCTCCACATACTTACTCTGTCCTCTACCCAGCAAAGTCAGTACTCTTGTGTTTGCCTTTCATCAGATGTCCTCCCCTTCACTTCCTAGCTCCACTTCATCTCAGTGGCCATGCTTTTTCTGACTCTCTTCAGTTCATCAACATTTTGCCCATAAATGTGATGCTGAAACTGCCCCACGATGGCACGAGTGATCCCCGCCAGACACACAAAATACGGTGTTCACAATTGAAGAGGATCAACTTTGGGGTCTCTGAGGAGGGTTTGCTCGAAGATCATTGGGAAAACCATTGGACTGTTGTGTAGTTAGGAGGAATCAGCTGGCAGGAGAGCACCGTGCCAGGAGCGCTGACATCTGAGACGCTGCTGTTAATTGCAGTATCTGCACCTTGGCCTCACAAGCTATGTTAAGGATCAGACTGCAGTCTCCCGGCGGCTGAGGGATGTTATCTTACCCTTTACTATGTCATTCTTGAGCTTGTCTGCATAGTATTCAGGGAGGGGAAGAGGCGCTTACTATTAAAATAGATTTAGTTTCTATTAACTAGTCTCCTTTCTCCAATCTGCTTCATCATGTGCATCAACCCCCCCGCCAGCCACCCGTGCCTGCAGGGACACCCTTTGGTTGGCATTATATTTGGACTGGTGGCATGCCCACATTTCTTCCTCCTGATAAAAATGTTTGACTAGCTTGGTTTTAATAACCTGTTTCCATATGAAGTGCTGCTGCCATTCATTTTAATGCCACTTCAGGCTCTGACCGAGTGCTTTACTGGAAGGCAATGTAAGATCTTTAGGCAATCGTGGAAGGGAAAGCAGAACTGTGCTACTTGACCATGTAATGTACTGAGAGATACGAGAGCCACGAGACACATCACAGACAGCACGCTGTCGTTACTAAGTGAGGAGCACACCCGTGGGTTAAATTATCAACCCCCTGTGAAGTACGCCCCCGGCTCAAGGGTTGGCATTGAGTGCATGCCCCTTCCCGCAACGACCTGTCGCTAGAATAGAAATACTTGCATATTTTCCTACAGCAACAGCAAAGGAGAATGATGTTATGATGTTATCCACTCAGAGAGAAGAGTACCTTTTATCTATTATTTCCTTTACATTTATTGTGCCTTTTAATCTCAAGTGTGCTTGCTGTCCTGGACAAATCCCATTTAAGATTTTCCAGCCTGAAACGGATTACTATATCCAACAGCTCCAACACTTGAATTTTGGAGGGGGAAGGAGGCTGGTTTTGTGTTTCCATGCTTCCTCTCCCCTTTCTTTTTTTTCCTCCAGCAGGAGGTATTTGAAATACCCAATGTCCCTCTGACCCGTGGGAGCTCATGTTTGTGCCCAGTAGCAGTGACCAAAGCGCCCAGCCAGAACGTGCTTTTGCAAAATGAGGCTCCCCAACCAACCACCTTGCACCATGAGCATGTTAAGGACTTAGAGCAGCGACGGAAGTTGGAGTCTCCTGAGTGTTTGCATGAGGTTACTGAGCCCTGGGAAGGACAACAGCAAGGGAGGAGTGTGGGTAGCACCTGGGATGAAGTAAGGTTAAAAACTGAAGGTGGTCATCCACACCTAAGTAACAGGAATGATGGCTTGAGTTTTCCAAGCTCCCTGTGTCTGTGAACGTTTTCTGCCTCCATGGTAACAAAACAAAAATAAACCCCACTGTTTTCTTTCTACCTGTCTCTGGAGGGGTGTCCCTCGTATCTTTCTGCCGTATCTTCATCAGGATCAGGAGACTGCTGTGAACTTCTCCCTTCCTGAAAGAAACAGCAGAGGTTTCTCCGTATCTTAAGCTTACTTTGTACTAATTTATGAAATTGTAGCTAAAGCCAAAAGCAGTAAAAAGACAACGGATAGGTGATGTATTGAAAAAATAGATGAGAATCAAACACGATTGCCTCTTAAAAAGAAAGAAAAAGAATATCAGACTGTCTGCCATTTGAAAAGAAAAAAAAAAAGTCATTGTAAAAATAACCAAGGGGTTTCCCTCTCTTACTTTAACAAAAAGGAATGTGAAGCCAGTGATTCAGTCTCCTGAGAAGTCGCTGTTTCTGCCTTGAGGGAGCCCCAAATAATTTCCCTGTGAGGTTTGGGACCTGAGTTCTTTTTTTTATGCGAGAGTTTCATTATCCTGCAAAATAGTGCTAGTCGAAGAGAGAAAAAAAAACAGGAAGATGTGATAATTAAATATGGAAAATTTCTGATGAGTGTCTTAACTGGAAAAAATGTCACATATGCAAGTCTGATTTGGAAAGGGATGCGAGACGGGTTGTTAGGACAGATAAGTCTTTCTGATGAATTACAGTGGCTTAGTGGCACTGAGAAGAAACTGAATACTCCTTGTTCTATTTTCTGGATGAATTAGTTTCTTCCCATCTGTTCCCAAGGATCAGTGACATTTTCCTAATACATCCGTAGTTTTTTGACATATGCCTGTAGATACTCAGGGTAATAGGAGCCCAATTTTAACCCATAACATGTTTTGTCTGTTTTCATGCCGGGTGCTGCACCCCTGGGCACGCACCAACGTGGGGTGAGATGAACTGAGCCAGACCACCCCATGGCCATGCTGGAAGAGAAGCAGACACCAAAAAACCCATTATTTTTCTTCCAGTTTAACCAGTTCAAACCCCAGTTAAGGCAATTACCTGTCTTCTGGAGATGTTCATCAGCTTTTGCTAAACTCATATCAAATTAAGTCGCTTATTAAACATTTAATGGAATAAGGTGGGTTTACAAGAACCTCAGGGTTACAACGCCAGCTATGCAAGAGGTAAGCAAATGCCGATGGCTTTAAGCCCATCTCTTTCTGTGTTCGTAAAAGGACACAGTCATAGTGTTATAGATCTGGGAGGAACATACAGACCCCTTCAACGTTATGGAAAGGCTGTTAGGAGAGATGTAAGAGTGTAGTAAAGATGATATCGCATCTCCTCTCCAGCACTGCCTGCACTCGGGAGGAGGGTTGCAGGGGCTGAAGCCGGCAGGACTGTGTCCAGGCTGATTCTCTCCTGGAGACGGAAGAGGATCAACCTTTTCTGATTATATAAAAATGCAGATTTTTTGGAGAAGTTTTAATATATAGCTACATATGGATAATTTTTATAAGTGTCCCCTGATGCCAGGGTAGCCACCCAGGCTTCACACTTCAAAGGACTTAGGCTCTTGCTTCTTAGCAAACTGGTTGTAAGGCTTATTTTTACTCAAATAAAGCAATGTATTTTCCCATCTTTTGTTCCCAGACACTGCTGATTGGTTTCACTGAAATGTTGATTAAAAAAACTGTATCGCATCAAGACAGACACCATCGTGAGAAATTTCAGCCCAACTGGCTCATATTTAGTAATGTGCATATGGCGTGCTAGCAGCATACGGGACAAGTCAGCTAATTAAATTAGAATTATTTTATTTGATAATTTATGGTTACTTTTACCAATATTTCTAATAATGGTGCAGCTAAGACAAGAGTTTTAAAGCATTCTTGAAAACTCCAATTGAACGTGACTTAGGATAAGGGATTTGTTTAATTTCAAACCCCAACTTCACAGACTTCATTGTTAAAGCACAACACCACTTGGAGGAACTTCACACGTCGGAAAATAAAAGTGCAGGTGAATTTATGAGACAGGTGAAGGGGGGAAAAAAAAAAGTCGGGTCTCAGAAAGTCTTCTGGATTATGTGGTTGACCTTCCCACAAGCAAAAGCAGAATACAAAAGAGAATCAACTACTGGATATTATTAAGGGTGTCTCTGTGCTGTGGGTTTCTTCTGTACTTAGCTGCTGCACAGGCATGGGAAGCATCTGAGTTAAAATTTGCAGCAATTCAAAATTCTGAAACAACTTGACATCTTAATTTCATGTGTAAGAGTGGAGCTTTCACGGTGACTCCATTAGGCTTCAGGAGAGGATAATTGTACTTTTACCAGTTTAGAGGGAGGTGCGTACTGGGGGATGAAGGACTGATGAACTTTAAAAGTGCCTTTGAGAACTTGGAGAGAGAAGAACAAAACCAGGAAAGGTTTCCTCATAGCCTTGGAGGTTTAGAGAAACGTGATTTATCTATAAATAAGGGGAATGTATAAATAAAAAAACAGTCTCCGAACCTGAGCCTAAAACTGATCTCAGTGTTGCTTTCCATTGACAGATAACAAATATGCTCCTGCAGTCACTCTCAATGGGTTCATCTTTATTCTTGGAGGAGCTTATGCACGAGCAACCACCATCTATGACCCAGAGAAAGGCAATATTAAAGCAGGTCCCAACATGAACCACTCCAGGCAGTTCTGCAGGTGAGAAAAACCATTAAAACTCAATTACTGGTGCCTTAACATTTTTTGCTGATAAATAAGCTAATGCTACCTAACAGTGAAGGGGAGAGGGGAATGGAGGTCTGTACCACCTGGGGGGGTTCCTCATCTCTTTTTTGTGTGTCAGGGATTTCCCAAAAGTGCACATCCAGGACCCTGCTATGGGTCATGTGTCTCTTCACCTTCAGGCACGATGTATTGTGGGGAGGGACATGAGTTGGGCTCCTCCAGCAGATTACAGGAATGATGTTTTCCTCAGTTTGCCATGTGTAACCGGAGGATGATAAATGCCTGCTGTAGGAGAGACCACCGTAATGTGGAACATGTTTTTGCTAACTAGCTAAAAGATCCTTGAAAGAAAAAAAAAGTACTGAGTAAGCACCAGACACTGATAATAATTATTATTTATTATGTGCTTTTGATTGCTTTTTGGGCTCGCTTCCCTGATCCCAATCACGGGTTTAACAAACTTCCCGAACTGGCTGACAAAAATAAAACTTGGCACCCATCACAGGTACTGGCAGAACTTAAAGGGCTTTTAAAAAGTCTTACGTGGCCGTTACAGAAAGACGGGCTTGTTCCAGGCTCTATACAGTGCCAGCCCCTCACGGAGCAGATCCCCGTGCTGGGGACTGGCCAAGCTATTGGTTTCACAGGGAAAAGCCATCACTGGTCCTCAAATGGTGCCGGGGGTGCTGGGTGAGGGTTTATTTTCGATATCCAATGCAGGAGTGTCTCGAGGCACTGAGCAAAACCAGGGCAGAGGGATTGTTCCAGGCGAGCACCTGAGTAAAACAGCGGCTGGGGTGGGAGGAATAGCATCGATGGGGCAGAGCTGGGCCCACAACGGACCCGCATCTCCCAAACGCTCAGCCCACAGCTCTGCTCCTTGCCTCAGGGATCTCCCCAGGCCACATCCTATGGCTGAAAAACACCTCCGTGATTTACCTTGCTGCATTTGACCTTTTACTTTGGTGCAGATGAGAAAATCGCGTTTTAAGAAAGCATGCTCAGTTTCTCCTTTTTTTTGCTGTTTTTGGGGGGGTTTCTCGTTTTTTTTCCCTTTTATTAATTTAAGGAGCGCCCTCTCTTGGCTGCTGAAGCATATTTTATTGTAAATAAAGGTGTCGGAGCAGCCGGCTCCATCCCGGGCAGCTGAAGCCGTGTGCATCCTGCACTAAGGTCAAGTCTTCTACTTTAGCAGCAGGCAAAGCAGGATGAGGAGGAGCCTGCAGTGCTCAGACAGCTGCTAATGATATTTTTCTCCTGAAAACCAGAAATAAAGCATACGATGCAGCTCAGAATTAGAGCCCTAGCCAGTAAAATAAAACACGAGGGACTTGCACATTTGATACATCCCTGCATCGTCCCATAGAGAGGGATGAACTGCTCTTTGAACATTTCTGTTTTGTAAAACATAACAAAAAAAATCTGTTAATTATCTGGAATACACTACAGGAGAAATTGCATAGCCATGGTGATTTCAACCAAGGGCTGCTGGCTGAGCATCTCACCCGAAAACTTCCCAAGGTTTCTAATGTGAAGGGATGCTTTGCTCTGCACCCTGCAGAAGGGAATCCGGTGGGACACCTTGTGAGGGACCAAGGAGAGTAAACCGGTGACCTAAATATTAGCTGCTGCTTAGGCACCATAGTAAACTGCCTTTGCTTAAGTAGAATATGACACCCGTCAGTAAAAAGTAACTTCAAACTTTTATATGACATTTTTTTCTAAAGCCTAAAGCAACAGTGGACTGGAAACCTGCATTTATAGTGGGAGAGTCACCAAAAAAAAGAATATTTCAGTACGTCCCAACTGGATGCCAAAAAAGGCACAATTTCAAAAATTCTTAAATGTGCTGGGAAACCGTCAAGGAAAAATATTTCAGCCAAAAGGAGATGCAAAACCTATGACAAAAACTAAATAAATCAGTATGTATGGAAATAGGGAGGTTAGCAGTAACCAGTAGGTTAAAAACTGGCTGCTGCTCCAGGAGGCTGAGGGCACCAGTGAAGTACTAAGGGCTAACAGGAGTGAAAAGAAAGGCACTTCAAACCTTTTGGGATCGAATTTGTAATTTGAATCAGTTATAAAACCATTGCTGATGAGGGAGCAAAGTGTAACAGACTGATCAGATGGATGTTTCTCATCTGTATTTGGAAGGGAGCAGGAGGGTTTGGTTCTATATTCTGCTGTGAGGGACCAAAAGCGGTCGCTGTTGGCAGCAAGGAAAGATGTGAACTCAGAAATTAAGTTCTCAAACCAGGCAATCCAGCTGTCTTAGACATAGCCGTCTTTAGAGACTTCGCTGAGAAGCTGATTGCACCACTAATGTTGATTTTTAATAACTCTTACAGTTCAGGATGGCTCAGGGCACTGCCAAAGTGTTTCCGTATTTTGAAAAGGTGAAAGGGAGAATTTTAGTGCAGCAATTAATTTTGCAAAGTACCAACATCAGGCTAAGTGGCCTCACTTAGCCTCATGTTGGTCCTCTGCAAAATGCCAGAGTGGTTAATTTGGGATTTCATCAACAAATAACTAGACGCTAATAATATAATGAACAGCAATCAATGTGCTTTCCTGGAAAATGGGTCTTGTTAAACCAACCTGTTGTCTTTTGCTTTTTGGGGGGAAAACTGTGTCCTTTTGTTTTGTTTTTTAATAACACATGCCTGGCAGCTAAAGCCAACTGCGATGCTATAATATACTGTGATTTCTCCAAGGTATTTGGCTGGTATTATATGGAATTAACAAGGCACGCATTAGAGAGATTAAATCTGCTTCGCTGACAGATCTCAAAATGTAGTTGTTAATGAGGAGATATCATTGAGCAAAGCCACCGGTAGCAAGCACTGATTCCTCTTCAATGCCATGTAATATATCTACCAACAATCCAGGTAATAGAAAAATCTCCCCTGGTAAAGGCTGCAGGTGGCATAACACTTGGTGGGTAAAAAATATTACAGAAGGAGCTATTTTAGGCAGTTATCTGCATGTCTCAGTTAGACGGTCTCAAGCTAGCAGCGGTATTTTAAATGCAAAGTAATAGATGGAGGAAGCACAGTCATAGCAGCCCTCCTCCCCTTAGAAATCAGGCACTGAGAGGAGGACATAAAGGAGGCCACTCCGAGCTACACAACATGAGCTCTCATCGCAATGCGGTGGATAAAAGGTCAATGCAATATTGGCTATATAACATGAGCGCTAACACCGAAATGAAAACAAGTTGAAGCTGGGAAGAGAGAGTGCTGCTGCGTACGGCGTTGGTGAGATGAATGCAGGTCTTGGGTCCACGCATCAACATGTGGAAATATCAGCAGAAGTTCAAAGGAAAGCTGCAAAAATGACCCCAGGTTGCAAATCCAATCTTTGACGTGAAATTTAAGGAGTTTATCAAAGAAAGGCTGAGAGGTGACTTGATCACTGGGAGCAAGTGGAAAAGCTTTCAGTCTCTCAGACAAAGGCGTACCAGGTTACGAGGGCTAGAAAGTCAAGTTACACATCTCAGCCTTGAAGTGAGGCACTTTCCCCACAGCAAGGATAATTAAACAGAGAATCAGCAAGGGAGGGGGCGAACTCACCAACACTCCGTGTTTTTAAAAGGAGATTAGATACATTTCCAAGAGAGATGCTGCCTGGGGAAGAGTCCATCGCCTGCGTGTACACAAGCTCGGATTAACTAAGCACAGAGATCTCTTCTGACCTCAGTCTATGAATCTATAAAATCCTCGTTCTACTCATTAGCATGGATCACAAAAAACATGGTTTAAGAGCAGCAACATAAACAACTTAAAAATTAACTGCATGCTATTGATCTCCTCTCACCAGGAATCACTCGATACCGAATTTGCTGGGAAAAACCTTGACCGCATCATTTTTATTTTTATCTGCACTGTTTCTACATGTTAGTGACGAGGGAGTGTGATGGCTTTGAGCACAGGGAAAAGAAATGTGTGTGAAATTCCCCGTGTGTGAAAAATTAAAGGTTCATTCAAATGGCTTTAATATCAAGTTAAATTACTTTTAATGAAAAATGAAAAATAAATGGTTCAGGTCTCCAGCTCACAATCAACAGAAGAGCAACTTGAGCATCATTTTCAGATTAAGGCCGGCCTGATGGAAGCCAGTAAGAAATTCGTGTTGACCTAGAATTAACCCTTTGAGGGACGGCGCCAAATGGGCAAGGAGCTGTAATAGACCTGAAGCATTTTAAAATTCACTGAGAGTTCACACGCAGGTCTTGAACATCTTCCACGCCATGTGTGAGGGTGAGGGAAATATTTGACATTTCCCAAACGTCAGACAAGCGTGTCCTGTTTGCCACATGGACCCCATCTCGGTATGGCAGCCCCTGTTCACTTGTGGGATCCCTGGAGGCGGCAGACAGCGGCCGACGGGGATGAGGAGCTGGGACGATCACTCCTCGCTCTGCCGGACACCCCGCTCCAGAAGGACTTGCAAAGACATCCATCCCCGCCGGCGCTGGAGCGTCCCCCCTTTGCGGACGGGTGCTCTCCCCTCCCGCAATGCCCTTCAAGGGTTTATTTTTCCACGAGGAAAAAAAATGAATGCGTTTCTGTGCATGATTAAAAATTCCATATTCTGCTTGCTTAGGATGCAGGCGGCGTGCAAACAAGCGTGTGCTACAGAGAGCCTCCACGGGGCAAGAGCGGCAGCGTGATGGTGCCAGCAATAATTCCAGAGCAGCTAATTTAGTACCAGCAATTCCCAGCAGACACCAGGAAAGCATTTTCTTCCTCCTTCTCTGACTGTTAACCAGTAAGATTTATTACATGGTTCTGCCAAATGGAAATCTTTAATAAAACTTCGACTAGAGCTGTACAGCACAAAAACAGGATCGGTTTGTGGATTTATTTTTTTCTATTTTGTTTTTCCCTCCTCTTTTTAAATAAGCCCTTGTTCTTGAACAGCGAAGCATGGTGACTTAACGACTAGGCTTTGCTAATGTACAGCACCAGCCA